CTGGTACAATTCCCCAGGGAAGCCATCTGGCCCAGAGCTCTTATTTGTTGGGAGATTTTTGATAACTGATTCAATTTCCTCACTAGTTATGGGTCTGTTCAGATTTTCTATCTGTTCCCATGTGAATTTTGGTAGTGAGTGTGTGTTTAGGAATTTTTCCATTTCTTCTAAGCTGTCCAATTTGTTGGGATATAATTTTCCATAGTATTCCCTGATAATTGCTTGTATTTCTGAGAGGTTGGTTGCAATAAGTCCATTTTCACTCATGATTTTGTCTCTTTGAGTGCTCTCTTTTTTCTTTTTGAGAAGCCTGGCTAGAGTTTTGTCAATTTTGTTTATTTTTTCAAAAAAATCTCTTGGTTTCATTTATCTGTTCAACTATTTTTTTTTATTTTTTGGTTTCTGTATTGTTTATTTCTGCCCTGATTTTTATTATTTCTCTTCTCTTATTGGGTTTGGGTTGCTCTTGTAGCTCTCCCTCTAGTTCCTTTAGGTGAGCTGTTAGATTTTGTACTTGCACTTTTCCTAATTTCTTGAAATAGACCTGGAGTGCAATGTACTTTCCTCTTAGGGATGTCTTTGCCGCATCTCATAGAGTTTGGATTGTTGTATTTTCATTTTCATTTGTTTCCATACATTTTTAAATTTCTTCTCTAATTGCATGATTGGCCCATTTGTTCTTTAGTAAGGTGTTCTTTAACCTCCATGTTTTTGGAGGTTTTCCAGATTTCTTCCCATGATTGATTTCAAGTTTCATAGCATTGTGATTTGAATGTGTGCATGGCATGATCTCAATTCTTTTATATTTATTGAAGGCCTCTTTATGTCTCAGTATGTGATCTATCCTAGAGAATGTGACATGCGCACTTGAGAAGAAAAGAAATTCCATGGCCTCAAAATGTAGAGTTCTAAATATATCTGTCAAATCCATCTGGTCCAATGTGTCATTCAAGTCTATTGTTTCTTTAGTGATTTTCTGTCTATTTGATCTTTCCATTGCTGTAAGTGTAGTATTAAAGTCCCCTGCTATTAGCACATTCTTATCTATAAGCTTGTTTCTGTTTGTAATTAATTGTTTTAGGTATTTGGGTGGTCCCATATTTGGTACGTAGACATTTATAGTTGTTAGCTCTTCCTGATGGATGGAACCCGTAATTATTACATAATGCGCTTCTTCATCTCTTGTTACCGTCTTTACTTTGAAGTCCAGTTTGTCTAAGTATAGCTACTCAAGTAGCTTTTTCTTTCTCTTATTCTTTTGACTTCCAGTAGCATAATATATATTTCTCCATCCCCTTACTTTCAATCTGAAGGTGTCCTCACATCTAAAATGAGTTTCTTGTGGACAACACATAGATGGATTTTGCTTTTTTTTTTTTTTAATCCATTCTGCTACCCTTTGTCTTTTGATTGGAGCATTTAGTCCATTTACTTTCAGTGTTATTATTGAAAAATATGGGTTTCAAGTCATTGTGTTCTTTGTAGGAATCATGCGTGTGGCGTTGTCTCTGGTACCTTGCATTCCTTACATTTTCCTCATAGAGTCCCCCTCAGGATTTCTTGTAGGGCTGGCTTTGTGGTGACAAATTCTTTCAATTTTTCTCATTTGGAAAGACTTTTATCTCTTCTTCTAACCTGAATGACAGGCTTGCTGGATAGAGGATTCTTGGCTGCCTATTTTTTTCTGTTCAACATTGAAGATTTCCTGCCATTCCTTTCTGGCGTGCCAAGTTTCAGTAGATAGGTCTGTATCCACTCTGTTTCCCTTTGTATGTTAGGGCCCTTTTCTTCCCAGCTGCTTTCAGAATTCTCTCTTTGTCCTTATATTTTGCCAGTTTCACTATGATATGTCGTGCAGAAGATTAATTCAAGTTACGTCTGAGGGGAGTTCTCTGTGCCTCTTAGATTTCAACATCTGTTTCCTTCCCCAGATTGGGGAAGTTCTCTGCTATAATTTGTTCAAGGACTCCTTCAGCGCTTTTCCCTCTATCTTCCTCTTCTGGAATTCCTATGATAAAGATTTTGTTCTGTTTGATTGTATCACTGAGCTCTCGAACTCTCCTTTCATGTTCCTGGATCAGTTTATCTCTCTGTTTACTAGCTTCCTTTTTTGTTATAATTGTGTTTCCTAATTCACCTATTCTCCTCTCTACCTCTTCAATCCATGCATTGGATGCCTCCATTTTATTATGCATCTCATAGCATTTTTAAATTCATCACAACTATTTTTAAGCTCCATAGTCTTTGTAGCAATAGTTACTCTGATGTCTTCCATGCCTTTTTCAAGCCCAGCAACTAATTTTGTAATTCTTATTCTAAATTCTTGTTCAGTTATGTTGCTTATATCTGTTTTGAGACGTTCTTTAGCTGTCATTTCTTCTTGGAGTTTCTTTGGAGGAGAATTCTTCCGTTTTGTCCTTTTAGTTAACTTTCTATCTCTTGTTAGTTTTAAAAGCTTGTTATGCACTCTGCACCTGTGAGTACTGCTGTATTAAAGAAAGCTCTTTTACTTTCCAGTGCCTGTCTGTTCAGGAAGTGTTGTTCGAATGATATGTCTTGGTCTCTCTTGTTGAGACTTTGGTTATTTTATTTCCCTAGTTGTAGTGGTATTTGGGACTCTCTACCATGTGTACTTTGGCTTGTTTCTTGAGGTAGCCCTTCTCCATCTTCTCTTGAAAGTAAGCTTCAAGGAGAAGACACTGCAGGCAGATAACCAAAGGGACATTCTCAGCCAAGGTTCCTGGATTCCTGTGCTTAGAAAGCACAGATAGTTTCTTCAACAAATGGTGCTGGAACTATTGGCATTTGTATACAAAATCTAGACACAGACCCTACACCCTTCACAACAGTTGGCTTAAAGTGAATCACAGAACTAAATGTAAAACACAAAACTATAAAACTCCTAGAAGATAATAGAAAAAAACCCTAGATGTCTTTGTATACTTTGATGACTCTTTAGATACCACACCAAAGCATCATCCATGAAAAAGGAAAAAATGGATGGTAAGAAAAATACTTATTATACACAGACTTTGTTTTATTTATCTTACTTGTAATAATCCTATAATTCATAACAGTCTTTAAAAAATCACAAATTAAGAGAAGACTAAATTGGATACAAGTAAAATGGTTGCACTACCTCAGTAGGTAGGAGGTAGTTGAGAAAGGATTTTTTTTTTATTCCTGTTGGGTGGTTCCACGTCTTTTGCTTTTAGCATTACACCAGTGAGCTTACTCACCATGTAGAAACAGTGACACTGGTTGGCTCAAGAATTAGGAGTTTTGACAGAGCTAGGAGTGATAGATTAGGGGTACTTGTAGCTATATCTCAAGAACCTACAAACCACTCCACAAATACAAAAGCCAGTCTTTGAAATCTAATATGTTCAGCTTCTGTCAAATAAGAACTTTCTGACTCTTACTTTCCTTGCCTTTCCCTGTGCCAATATTAGAGGGGCCAGATTCAGTCCAGTGAAGCAGGATGAAGAAATAGAAGAGTAAGATGAAGTTTCCAACCCAGCTCTGCCCCCTTAGTTAAAAAAGGGAGAAATTTAAATCAGATGATAGACTTTTGTTATGTTAGACAGGATTTTTTGTTCCCTAGAAGTTATTAGAAAAACTGTAGGTTTTAGCAAAGGTGGCATCTAGGGGTGGAGAAGATCAGGTTGAGGGGTTAATAGAAAAATTAAGTTTGTCCAATTTTTTTGAGACAAAAAGAGCAATTTAGCTCTTTCACTAGATTGCTGCATTCATAGCAATAGAACTCTGTTGCAGAAATCTGAAAAATTAGAATACACCTTGAATCAGAGATTTCATGTAGTTTAGATAGCATACAAATTATTTCATAATGAAGAAAAAAATCCAAGATTTCAATTTCCTCCAGTTCTAAAAGTCTCTGCTAATTTCTCACCATATTCTTATGTGCAATGTTTCCTTTTTGGTGGGAGCTTCTTTGGCTGACTGCTATCTGTGAAATGCCCTTTACTTTGTGTTCCCTATTGTCTGTTCTGTGATTTTATAGAAGATTTTATAGAGGTAAATCTAATAAATGTTAAGAGAAAATTTAGAGTTGAGGTCAAACGTTTCTCCCTTTTTTAAAAAGCAGGGCTTTCCAAAAATATATTCAATAATGTTTTCAGCTTTCCTCCTTGAATTGTTTTGTAGCTAAAAGCTGGGTAACACACTGATTGCTTTTCTCTAAAACAGCATTGCCCAACAGAATTCATGCTATTACTGAAATGTTCCATATTTGTGCTATCTGAAATGGTCACCACTGGTCACATGGCTATGGGGTACTAAAATATGGCTTGTGTGACTGAGGAACTAAAGATTTAACTTTCATTTAATTTTAAATTAAACTAAATTAAATGTAAATTTAAATAGCCACATGTAGTGTCTAACATATTGGATAGCACAACTCTAAAAAATACATTTAAGATTCAATAAACCCCTGGCTCCCACAAAACCCCTCACAGACTTTTCATTTTATTGCACTTATTCATTTCATTTTCAAGTCTATTACAGATAATAGAGTTCTTTCTTTTTCTCAAAGGTAAACAGATAAGCAAGCTTCAGCTCAGGAAGAAATGCTTTTGTAAAACCTTAATATTTCAGACTAAAGTGTCCATTTGTCTTCAGTTATATCTGGCTTTGAAATGTTGCTGCCGTTAGCACTAACCGAAGCCTCAACTTCCATGCTTTGGAGATGGTATTGATGAACATTAGCAGTGTGCGTGGTACACAGTGCCAAGCAAACAGTCATATACATTGAGCTCTGTGCTTAACAATTATGCCTCGGGATCCCTGCAGATTCCTTGAGTATCCTTTTAAAGACTACTGTTTTAAGAGAGGAACAGATGCATCTTTCCATATAGAGCAATCAGCAAAGTTCAGGAGATGTAGGGCCAGACTATATTCATACTTTTTTTTCACAGTGCCGAGTACTTTGGTGATACTTAAACCAGTCTTTTCAACAACTGGCATCTCTCTCTCTTTTTCAGTTGGTGTCTCTCTTTTTCTATTTTGGCTGTTGGAGATCAGAAACTATTGAGTTTCATGTGAGTGAATTTCTTTCATTGTTTATAGTCCTTTTTAATGCAGTGTGTTAAGTTGTACTAGTATTTTTATCTTAAAACCTGATTTTCAGAAGACTCTACTTTTATGAAGAAAGCATTTTTTCTTCTTAATCTTTTGAGAACAAGACAATGATTTTTAAATTAAAATAAGTACTTTGGCTCACAGTATTGTTTTCCTTTCATAAAGTGATACGTATCTTGTACCAGGGATAGGAGGATGAGAAAAAATGTCTATGTATGCACATATAACTTATTACATATATTTCACCCTCCCCCCCCAACAAACACACAAATCAATTCTCCTCAGTAAGTGGAAGCAACAGCTTCATTCAAATGCACTGTATATTTATTTGCATGTGTAAATATATAATATGGACTTGTAGTTTTACTTTATAAGTATCATAAAATTGGACAAAGCACTTTAGGTGACAGAGAACTGAACCTCATTAAAATGTATTCAGTCTTAGTATATATTTTCTTAGAGGCCATATATTAAATTTCCCCCCAAATACGAAGTCTCCTTGATAGTAGTTTGTTTTTAATTCATCACTTGGACATTTCCACCAATAGGAAGCTCAGTACTTCACCAGGTAAGCCATTCAATCATCATTTTTCTAAAAACAGTAGTTTTTAGAATATGAGAGTTCGGCTTTCCTCTCTATAGCATCTATTAATTGGTTTTATTTAAAAAAACCTTTTTGAGTATAGTTAGCACACAATATCACACTAGTTCTGGTATACCACATTGTGATTTAACTTCTCTATGTTATGCTATGCTCACCATAAGCGTGACTACCATGTGTTACCATACAGTGTTTTTACAGTATCATTGACCATATCCCTCATGCTATGCCTTTTATTCCCATGACTTATTCATTCCATAACTTGAAGCTTGTATCTCTCACTCGCCTTCATCCATTTTGCCCTTCCTCCCACCTCTTCACCTCTGGCAACATCAGTTTTTTCTCTGTATTTATGGGTCTTATTCTGCTTTTGGTTTGTCTGTTTATGCACTTGTCATTTATTGACTCTATTTTTGACCATTTTGACAAGTGTAAAAGATATCCATATAAAATATCAAAAAATCTATGTCCATGTGGAAGGACAAGCAAATATCAAACAAATGGTAATAGAAATATTCTATTAGTTTGATTAACATAAAGTTCTACAATTCTTAGTGACCAAAATGTCAGTGGACAGTATAAATGAAGGTTATACCTTGCACTAAGTAAAATTCCATTTGTGAAAATCTTAATTTGCAATATGAATAAAATGGAGTATGGTTATCAATTTTTATAATAATTTTTCCATCTATACATGGGTTCATTACAAGCTTTTTAAAAAGTAGTTAGTTATTTTAGTGCATTAAAATGTAAATCAATTTATAGAAACTCAATTCACAATTTTCCTCATGAATTAAGTGATTAATTTACTTTACATCAAATGTTCTCTAATGGATATAAGTGAGAAAAAATAACTTCTCATTCTGTGTTGCATCTTGAGGCATAGAGAGTTTTTCTGAAAGGCACTCTTAATTAAAGACATGCAATAATAGCTGATGTCTGTATCAAAATCAATATATGTAAAACTATGCCAAAACTATTTATATGCATTGGTTTGATTATGACTTCTTAATATCTTTTTTAAAATTCATAGAGATGCTATTTATCTTAAAGATCTAGAAAATATCTGAATGAGCAAATCCATATGACAGCATCCACTTAAATTATATATGTATTTCTTTTTAATAGTTCTTCCTGCCAGGAGGAAATTGTTGCACATGTTTGTTTAAAAACTGTACTAAGAAACTTATTTTGCCAAGGTTAAAGAGTACAGGATCCATATACAGAAATCAATCGTCTTTCTATACAGTGGCAGCAAACAAGCCAAAAATGAAATTAAGAAAACAAATCCTTGGGGAGCCTGGATGGCTCAGTCAGTTGGGCATCCAACCTTTGCTCAGGTCATGATCTCATGGTTGGTGGGTTCACGCCCCATGTCAGTCTCTGTACTGACAGCTCAGAGCCTGGAGCCTGTTTCAGATTCTGTGTCTCCCTCTCTCTCTGGCCCTCCCCTGCTCATTCTCTGTCTCTCTCTGTCTTAAAATAAATAAATGTTAAAAAAAATTAAAAGAAAAAAAGAAAACAAATCAATTGGGGCACCTGGGTGGTTCAGTCAGTTAAGCACCCGACTTCCATTCAGGTTATGATCTCATGATTTGTGGGTTCCAGCCCCACATCAGGCTGTGTGCTGGTAGCTCAGAGTCTGGAGTCTGTTTCAGATTCTGTGTCTTCCTCTCTCTCTGCCCCTTCCCTGCTTGTGCTCTGTGTGTATCGCCCTCTCTCTAAAAAAAAAAGTAAAAATTAAACATTTTTTTTAAAAAAAAGAAAACAAACTCATTTACAATAGTATCTAAAAGAATAAAATACTTATAAAAGGTAAAGGAAAACAGCATTTTGTTTAAATGCAGGAAGAAGATGCACGAAGAAGATGCAGTCTCCCATCAGAAGGGTCTTAGTAGAGAATATTGTTGAAAACAGGCAAAAAAAATATTAATAAACATTATAACAAAACTCCATTATATAGTAATAATGTTTCTATTTAGAGAGGAATAAGAAGGAGTGTAAACAGAGTAGAGAAAAGAGTTTTTTCATGATTGGAGGACAAGTGGCCGTGTGTGTGGAGTATGAGTCATTCCAGTTGATCTTCTGGCATCCTTCTGACATTAGAAGGGAAAGGGAAGACAAGGAGCAAGTATGAGAACTAAAGAAGCTTCTACTATGTGTAGAAATTTGCAGCTTTTCATAAAATCATAGCTTTGGACTAAATAGTGAGAAATTGTTAGTAAACTGAGTATAAGATTTTTGTTAGGGTTCAGTGAAATAAATCAAGCATTAAATTAAGTGATAATTATAAGCAAATGTACCTTGTGACAAATCTTATCCATAGAGAACATTCTTTTCTTATATCTTGCCACACATTGTTTCTTTTATTTTCCTACAGTATTTAATTATTTTATGTTATCATTTTAGAGACTTATAGAAAAAGCCATGTTGACTGAATCAGAGTTCTTATCTCCCACAATTTTCTTTGCCTTGAAGCACTGAAACTGCCTGTGTATAGTACTGTTCACTCGGAAAGGCTTCTAGCTTATTACAGGGTGGTAAGGGTAAGGGGTTGGGAAGGAGTAGGTGGAAGTACAGAGTTTAGATAAACTCCACAGATGTATTCTCTACCAATCTATGTCCCCACTAACTGCTTATTTTATGAGGCATACATTTCCAAAGTGTTTGGGGATCTCTTGGCAAATTTCTCCTTGGTTGCAAATTAAGTTTTGTTCCTTAGTTGCAAATTAGTTTTTGAGGTTAATTTTTCAGTACCTGAAGCAGTGACTTGATTGATGGAAGGTTGACCAGGTCAGAAATAGATTCAGATGGGGCCTTGTTAGCTTTTTTCTTTTATTTTCTGTTCTTTCAGATGAAATGTAAAGAAACCACGGACAGAATTTCAGATATTGGGATTTCTGCTAACCATTGCTTTAATGAGATGGCTTTCATAAGAATGTAAACAAAGCATGTTTGATCCGTATCCTATTTGGAGGGCGTCTTTAACATAAGGAAGCCAAATGACTCCATTAGAAGCCTAAATTTTCACTTTCTCCTTTCTGGTGTTCTAAGAAAGTGAGAAAAACAGAAGTGGGTCTGTAAAATACTTCTATTGAAAACCTAGTTCAAAAATAGAAGTATTTCCAAATAATATAAAAAACATATTCATAAACATTACAACAATATTAAAACATTATTTTATGTTAAACAATAATGTAAGCAGAAATTTTTCTTGGTTTAAGTTCACATATGTTAATGAATTTAAAATTTTTGGCACTTTCATTGGACTCCAATATAGTATTATTAACTGTAGTCATATGCTTTATATTACACCTCCAGGACTTATTTATTATATAACTGGAAGTTTGCACTTAAGACAGCCTTCACCCATTTTGCCCTTTCCCACCACCCCACCTCTGGTAACCACCACTGTTGAATATTTTGGTAAAAGATTTCTGGCAAGTTTTTATTTATTTATTTATTTATTTATTTATTTATTTTGAGAGAGAGAGCAAACCTTCATGCATGCATGAAGGAGAGAGAGAGAGGGAAAGAGAGAATCCAAAGCAGGCTCTGCATTGTCAGCACAGAGCCTACTTGTGGGGGTGGTGGCTTGAACTCAAGGTCAATGAGAACATGACCTAAGCCAAAATCAAGAGTTAGATGCTTAACTAACTGAGCCACCCAGGCGACCCAGATTTCTGATAAGTTTTAAACAAATCATAATGAAAAGTTAGTAGTTTCTTTCTTAAGGAAATGCTATTGTAGGAAGTTTCAGATAATTTGCAATGAAGTTGTTTTCTCAAAGGCTTAAACATTTTAGAAGTTTGACTCATGATACTATTAAAGAGAGAAAGCACATACTGCAATATGTAAATATATCTTTTATTTTTCTATTCAATGTGAGATTTTTTACAAAAATATTATAGTTCAGTTACTCAAATTGTGTAATTATAAAATTATTTTCAAAATTGGACAACTATAGCCTTTGATATAATTGTGACTTTGTGTGAAATGACTAAATTCTAAGTATATCTTTGCTCAATGTATCTCTTAATAAAAACATCAATAAGAGAGAGGGAAAGTATTACAGAGCCTACAGAAATTTAAAGGACAAGAATAAAATATTATAGGCATCTTTAATCCAATAAATTCCACAACTCAGATGGAATAGACCAATTTCTTTTTTGTCAAAAAGTTGTTTTTGAGTATAGTTGATACACAGTGTTGCATTAGTTTCAGGTGTGCAACATAGCAATTCAACAGCTCTATATGTTATGCTGTACTCATGACAAGTGGAGCTTCCATCTCTCACCATTCAATGCTATTACAGTACCATTGACTAATGACTATATCACCTGTGCTGTACCTTTTATTCCTATGATTTATTCATTCCGTAACTGGAAGACTGTATCTTCCTCTCACCTTTACCTATTTTGCCCATTCTCCCACCCATTCGCCTCTGGCATTTATAGGTTCAGTTATGTTTTTTGTTCTTTTATTCATTTGTTTTGTCTTTTAGATTCCACATATAAGTGATACCATGCAGCATTTGCCTTTTTCTGTCCAACTTAATTCCCTTAGCATAATACCCTCTAAGGTAAATACTCAAGGTCCATCCCTGTTTTTATTTTTTTCTTTTGTGGTTGAGTAATATTCCAGTGTGTGTGTCTGTGAGTGAGATATATCACGTCTTCTTTATTCATTAATCTATTGATGGATACTTAGGTTGCTTCCAAATTTTGCCTATTGTAAATAATGCTGCGATCAACATGGGGTGCATATATCTTTTTGAATTAGTGTTTTCATTTTCTTTGGGTAAATACCCAGTAGTGGGATTATTGAATCATATGCTATTTCTGTTTCTAATTTTTGGGGAACCTTCAAAATATTTGAATGTACACTTCACAAAATATGCTGAGCATAATTAGTCACTAGGATAATGCAAATTCAAACCACAACAAGTTATAACTAAATAGTTTCTGCAATGATAAGAGGATTTTTAAAGTTTATTTATTTGGGGGGCATGTGCAAGTGGGGAAGAGGCAGAGAGAGAGAGAGAGAGAGAGAGAGAGAATCCCAAGTAGGCTCCACACTTTAGTACAGAGTCCAATACAAGGCTCAATTTTATGAACCATAAGATCATGACCTGAGCCAAAATTGAGAGTCAGGTGCTTAACCAATTGAGTCCCCCAGGAGCCCTTTGATAAAAGGAATTTTTTATGTGTTGGCAAAGATGTAGAGCAATTAAAAGTCATGCTCATTGCCTGTGGGAGTATAAAAATGTATTATCTTGGAAAACATTTTGTCAGATTCTTGTAAACTGAAACTTAACATACGACTGAGAAATTCCACTCCTAAGTATTTAACCAACAGAAAAGAAAATATGTCCACACAATGATCATGGCACCTTGACTCATAATAACCCCAAATAGAAAACCCTCAAAGGTCAACAGGTCAGGAGCTAAACTATCCACACAATTGAATAGTACCCTGTAACAAAAAGAACAAACTAATGATAATGTCCAATTATGTCAGGAAAAATTCAGATGCAGCATATATATTTCATAATTCTCCCTATATTAAATCTTAGAATAGATAAAACTAATTTGTAGTAACAGCAGATCAGTGTTTTCCTGGGGCCATGGTGTTGAACATCAAAGGTTAATAGCAAATGGTTTGGGACGATGGAAATGTTCTATATCTTCATTATGGCCATGGTGGTTACCTAAATGTATGCATGTGTCACAGTTCATTATCACTACAATTAAAATGGGTGAATTTTATCATATTTAAATTATACTTCAGTAAAGTTTATTAAAAACAAGGTCAAATGTTTCATCTTTGACAGAAAAAACTTATAAAAACTTTATTTTGATTTCATCATTTGGATGAAATTATTAATTTAAATAATGAAATAATTAACTAATTATCAAACCATTATTAGAATTGATTTTATGTTTATAGAATATGATATCACTAATATATAACAGGTACCATTTAACTATTTACCAAGTTGTGCACTTAATGGAGCCTGCCCACTTATCAGCTATCATTTCACATTTCATAGGTTTACAAAAATAAGCAAAATTAGCTTATAAACATAATCCTTTGACCTTAATGAGACATTATGCTAGATAGAACATTAACATAAGAGCTGTACATGTTAAACTATTGTCTTTGAGCAATTTTTCTTAAAATTGAGATTAACTTCTGAAGTAAGTGCTGATGATATAAGCAGATTCTGACATCTGGTTTTCAAGGAGTCAATGAAATCACTATGGCTCCAAATGTAGATGGTAAACACTGACAAACACATTACAAGTTACATGTGTATCATCAATTTTCTTGAGAAACAGTTTTCAGTGCTTACTTTTAAAAATAAACATGCACTTATTCTCTTTTTTAGCTCGTTTATTAATAGTTTATTGAAAAAAAAAAAAACTAAGAAGCATTACCCAACAATAAGATAAATAGGTATGCAATGAACTTCCAACCCACTGTGGTTGCAGTGTTCAGACTGCTCTTTATATAGCAGAACAGCTCAGCCTCTGTTTCCTGCACATATTTCACGTACACTTAGCCTGTAAATTCCCACATTTCCCATAGATTCTGCTGTATGGCAGTGAGGGACCTTCTTGAATTTCTCCAGGTGAAATCCAGGGCCTGTTTAAATGGCCTGTGACAAGCACATTTACACAGGCTCCTGCTCTTTGAAGAGCCCCAAGCTGGTTAAAAATTCTGCTGTTGCCCTCTTGATATTCTTAATAATTTTATCTTTGAAATTGGGTTTTGTAAGTGAGATCTGAGGGGAAAATGAAAAATGTGCATGAGCAGAGGAGTGATAAAAAACAAAATGAGATTAAAGAAAATAAAAGCAACACATTTCTAAATGGGGCAGAAAATTCTGATGTGATTTTCCTCCTAATCCTGACTGCTAGTGGCTTTTATTTCCATAGACAGAGACATAGTTTAAGTTTTAATTCTCATGTTGCTGGTTTTCCTAGATTCTTAAGTGCCCCCACTGTTTTGGGGGTAGAGCCGTTCTCAGAATTGTAAGCAGAGTTTTTACATTTTATAGGCCACCCATCATTCAGTCCATGCAAAGCTTGTCATCTTGGAAACAAACTGACCACTTTTTAGAGAATATTTGTTTGTTCCTAGACATTTACTTTTTTAAGTCAAAATTGATGATTTTAAATTTAAATGTGATAAAACACATTTATTGTTAAAAGAAGAAAAAGAACACAGAAATATATGAGACATAAAAATTGAAAAGCCCATACCCTTACCCCTTTCTACTCCATAATTCTGCTTCTTAGAGGGAGTCACAGCGAATGGTTCCTTATTCATCCTTAGGAATGCATCTCTGTGTGCATGTCTTGTCCTGTCCTGTAACTTGCCATTATACTCTCAGCACTGTATTGCCATTATCCTCCCATATCATATATATAGATGATATATAACACATGAGAGGATATCATATATATAACATGGGAGGACAATGGCAATAAACTGTTTATGATATATATGATATATGTGCTATATATGAAAGATATGATAAATACAATATATATGATAGGTATTTATGCTATATATAGTGTATGGTATATATCTGCTATATTTATTATGAGTATATTACAATTTTTTAAACCAACCCCAAGTTAATTGTTTCTAAATTTTCAAAATTAAAATAATCTTCAATGAACAGATTTTTTTTTTACATTCATTATTTACAATACCCTTGAAGAGCATAAAAAGATATAAAGGACATAGAGATATGAAATGGATACATTTTGTTGTGAATTGTTAGCTACATCATGACACCTGTTTACCATATTTGTGCATCCTATCAAGAACAGTATCTCTCCCTACCTACTAGCTGAGAATTACTGCTTTAGACTAGTGCATTTGATCTGAAAACAAAGGTTCCACTGCATTGTTCTTAATACTAAGGATGATATAATAATAATGATAATGAGTTTGTTTACTTTGGTTGTTGTGAATGCCATGTCTTTAAAAGTTGACCCCTGCCTCCCCCTTTCCTGAATGAGTACCTCAGGACAAAGATCAGAAACTCCCCCGGAGGTCCCCTGTGTTCAATGAGCAGGAGGAAAAGCCTAGATTTCTGCACTTCAGGCTTTCCCACTTTTACTGAGATGTAAGATCATAATGATTGAAGCCTAAGAGGTGTTGTCCTCATGACTCCTGTCCCAACTTCAGATTCCACACACGTTGAAACTCTCATTAAGGTTGCTGTTGTGATACATGCCTGGAGAGAGAGCATTGACAGTTATTTTGATCAACAGGAATTGACAATTTGGATTTTGGCTTTTATGATGGTGTTACCTTAACATTCAGCACAGAATCTTCCAACTGCCATCTGCAATCAGTCATTGGTAGACTCCAAGTCTAGCAGGTAGGTCCTGGCTTTGTGCTTCCTTTGACCATTGTCCTGTCTTCCCTCTCCTCATCTGGAGTTGAGCCATTATCTCTAGCCCCTTATACTAAGAGGTTCAAGAAGGCTTGTTCTGTGTGAAAACTCATTATGCTTTTTCTAGTGTCAATTTGAAATCTCAACTTTGCAATTTTCCCTCCCTCATCTGCACATCAGTCTGGATGCTGATTCCAATTCTGCTGAATAATTCTGTCTTCTTTCTGTCACTTCTTCTGACTTTTTCCTTAGGCTCTCTCTAGGGTTTATCTAGGGTTTATCTCTATGGTAAAATTCCTTGGACTTTTAATTGGTATCAAATAAAAACAAAGCCAGACGTAGGTAAGGATAGAATTTACTGCAAGAGGGAGGAAAGGGGCCTGTATAGTAGGGGAAGGGAAACTATCACAATAGGGAGAATGCTTGAGCTAGGAGCCCCGCAAGCATCTCACAGGTTAGTGAAGAAAAATAGCTTTGCTTCTACAGGAGGGAGTAAACAAGGCAGAAAGAATCAGTTTGGGGAAATGGGATGTGTGAGGATGCTTTTGAAAAGACAGTTGATCAGAGAATGTTCTGCCTTGAAATTAGTGTATTTTCAAAAGAGGCCATTAGAAGGGTTTCTATGCCGACTCAGGCTGAGAGTGGATCAAAAGCCACTAGCTTGGAGGAAGAAAACCTAACCCACATTTGTTTAACAAACATTTTGTTCTGACTTGTCAGTGGAGACCAGTCAGCTAATCATTTATGAGGCAAAGCATGGGAATTTGCAGCACCTATGTCTCTGGCTTTGTCATAGGTAGATGAGAGGGGCCTCTGTGTGTCTCATCTAAGTCATACAGAAGGGTGTCTCTTTGCAGTAAGACATGTTTATGGAACATTAAGGTGAAGGAAATTTTTAACTTTTGTTTTCCAGGATAATAGAATTCAAGCAAAATTCAGCATTGTTATCAGTTTTCTACATTTCTCTTTTCCCTAGCCTGACTTCTTTTCAGAAATGTGCTTTCTGACTCTCTCATGCCTGTACTTTAGATCTACTGTGTTTGCCTTCATCTCTCTCAGCTCCTGTCTTACATACATGTTTTACTTTAAAAATTGTATTGCTATTATTTTTAAGAAATATTTTTAACTTATAAAAGCAAAAATCTAAAAAAATACAGAAGCATATAATAAAAATGAAAATACTACTTTATTTTTAAATGTGTTTCCTTCTCCAAAGTAAACTCCATTTATATCATAATAAAGAATAAAACTAAACTATGAACAGTTATATTGTAATATTGTTCTGTGATGTTAAACACTTTCATTAAGCAAAACATGCATTTGATTGGCTCTCTGAACTCCATGGATAACTAGAAATGAAGGCTTATCTGTATGCAGGTGCCCCTCTGAGGTTTAAGACTTTGCCTCCTACCATGTTTAGGCTTTGCTTTCCTTTCAGCTGGCTTCATTTTGCCCAATAATGAAATGAATAAGATAGTCATTAGCAGTCCAAATCTTGCTTGATGAAAAACTCTAGATATTTTTCTCCAATTAAATTCTGGACTTTGATCTGATTGTCCCCAGCTAAGCCATGTTTTGCTCCTTGAACCCAGATACTGTTCATCTGACTGTCAAGATGTCTTTCAAGAGTTCAAGAGTAGGTTGGGCTCCCTTGAAGCCATACCAGCTGAGCGTTCCAGAGATGGTTTTCTAAGTGAGAACTGAGGGCAATATTTATTACCTGGGGATGTTTGGACATGAAGTGAGATAATATCTGTATAGATTGACTTGTTTATGTCTTTACTAAAAGACAAAATGGACATTTGCTGAAATATGTATGACAGTACCTAATTGATTATAGTGCAGTTATTATGCCCTTGAACAGGGCTAGATAATAAATGCCTTAAAGGAAGAAATTATATTTTACATATTTTGTATCCTCAGTTTACTTAGCTCAGAGCTGGTGTTTAGTGCTTAGTGAATATCAAAAGGAAAGAAAGAGAGAAAGAGAGAAAGAGAGAAAGAGAGAGAGAGAGAGAGAGAGAGAAAGAGAGAGAGAAAGAGAGAGAGAGAGAAGGAAGGAAGGAAGGAAGGAAGGAAGGAATGAAGGAAGGAAGGAAGGAAGGAAACTCCCGAAGTAACTTCTTATGAATTACAAAACGAGACAGAGTTAGGTATGACTGTATTCATTTTGGCGTTGTAGTTCTGCCTTTGATACAATAGGATGTAGAATGATTTCCTCACAAGAAATCCATTTGGCACTTGAATTAAAAGAGGTGTTTAGAAACACACATGTATCGCTATCTTTCATATCTGCGTGAAATCACACAACTGAGTTTTAGCTTCTAACGCTGGACAATTTATTGTAATTTTACCTATAATCCTATAATTATGTTTTGATATCAGCATTTATCACATGTTGTAAATGAATCTATTATATTCACAGGGATTCCTTAAAGTGCAGGCATAAAACCTATCATGAAGCCCTAGGAAACATGGCCTCAAAAAGTACTTTCCATTGTCTCAACTCCTTGGAATGAGATCTGAAAAACGTCTTAAGATTTTGATCTAGATGTATGTGTTTGTACACTCATCTGACTTATTTTGTCATTAACTCTTCTTTCTTGGACCTGTTGTGCTCTCTTCATGATTCTCCTGTTTGAATATAAGATGGAAGTTTCAGCAGACAGGCTTTCCTCAGTCTGTAGGGATATGTGTTTAACGCTATTGTGTCCTGAAGGGAGATACATGGACCTTTATTAACAAATTAGACCTTACGTTAAACTAGTTTAGATTTAAGAGAAAGTGTCTTTTCATTTGATTGGAAGCAATTTAAATGGGTGAAACAAAATATTTAAGTTCAGCATTTGTCTTTTGCTCATTGAAACATTTCTGCATCTAATAAATTCAAGTTAAAAAAAAGCCATGTTCTCTAAGAACCAGAAATAGGACATTTAGTTGCCTTTTAGAGAATATTGACATATCTATAAAAATTATTACAGAGTTTAGTGGGGTTAAATTATGTATTAAAAGATGAAAATATAAATCCTGGATCTGTATCAAATCCTGGTGTCAGATCACTGAAGTTCATCAGGTTGGAATTGGTTTTCAGAGAATATTATACACATGGGAGTGGCTATCGCTTTATATATCAGATTTATGAGGCTGTATAGTAACTGGTAAAATATATTGCTTAATTACATTCCTGAAGATAAATCTGAAGTAAAAAACCTGAATTGCTTGCCCAATCTACAAAAAACAATTCAAACAACAAATTCCTCAAATTCCAAAAACATTTAATATAGCATTAACTTAAAATAGTGAAAAATGAGAACAATGTCAATAGTCAAAATTGGGACAGAGGTAAAATCTTATGTAGTCACTAGGAGAATGTCTACTTAGATATTTGTAATGAGCTAGAGGAAAGGCTTACATTGCAGTTTTAGATGTGAAAAACAGTCACAATTTTAATATACAGAAGAGCTGAACTAACTAAGGCATATGTAGAGAAAATAGATTAGAAGGAAATTCGCCAACATTTATCAGTTATTATGCCTGGTGGTTTCAATATTTTTCATTCTAACTTTATGTACTTGATTTGTTCTACAATGGACAAGTGTTAACTTTTATCATCAGAAAAAAAATTGAAATAAAGTTGTGTATTAAACAGCTTAGTTTAATAGGGATGACAATTCATACTTTCCCAGCGGTCACTGGTGATAGCCTCTTGATGTGGTGTCTTCCTGTCTGAAAGTATTTCTTGTGTGCTTTAAACCTTTTGATCCCATTCACTATGAAAGCAGCATGACCTTGCAAGCCTGGGGTTTGCAGCTTTCTTAGATGAATGATTTTCAGACGTGATTTTTTTTTTTAATCAGGTGAATTTTGTAAAATGCTATTTTCCCTTTGTATCCAGAAATATATTTGTGCTAAAGGTTTAACCACAAGCCAAGTATGAAGTAATTTGGTTTGGCGGTTACTAAGCTATTGATAAATGTCTTACATTATTAAGTTGAATTTGCTTTTTAGTTTCATTCTGAAAATGGCCTAACTGTTCCTGGAAAAGCGAACTTCATCTCTAGCTGAGATTGAGATCATGTATACTGCGGCAAAATTGTAGTATACCCAACTACTTTCAAAGAGAATTTGGTACAGAATTACTGAATATATTACTAAGCTGCCTTTTGGAAAGTCCTCTCTCTCCCTGTATATATATACTTTATATACTTACCTAATGAATCTCTATTACATAATAATCACTATTTCAGTCTTAAAACTTTGAGACATTTCTTCATTCATGCATACAACAGACATGGTAGGAGTACCTGCTATGAGAGAGAAGCTGTGGCAGGCACTAGATCCAATATTCCAACGTGTTTAGGTCAAATTAAGGTTCTAATCCATTAGGTGAAAAAGCAAAATGCAAATGAAATACATATTTTGATCATATTGATGCAAATGTATTTAGCTATACGAGGGCAGGGATTTTTGTCTTTGTTTTCTCCTAGCACCCAGAACAGTTGCTGGTAAATAGCAAATGTTTAGTAAGTATTTGTTACATAGATGAATAAGCGAGTGCACTGATATGGTGCTCTGAGGGCCATATGGATGACAAGAAGACACTTTGTCAAAAGACCTAAGAATTGGAGATGGGCAAGATGCAGTTGAGAGAGTTACCACTGACTGGCATGTATCCTCAAGGAGGGAGAGCAGGACTGCCTCTGTCTATGCTGCTGTAGTTTGTTCTCTCCCTGCTTTCCCTCAGTGCACTCTCCCCCATATATTCCGGCTTTGCCTGTTGCAGAGGCCTTTCTCCACTAGTGTGGAGAATTCATTCCACAACTGTATACACAAACGTCATACAAAGGGATGCTGTTGCTTGCTCTTGGTCCCTCCAGAAACTTAATGTGAAAACTTATGATTCCCATGTCTGCTTGCTCACCGTCATCTTTGGGAATTAGACAGAA